GACAGCAGAATACTGGAATGTCCAGAAGATGTTTATTAACGTGTCGTGGGTTTCTCAACTCCGATGCTCAAATTGCTTGGATGTCTGACCTGGAGGAAGCTCCTGACCTCTGGACCACAACTTGAGTGGTGAAAGATGTAAAAATGCCTTTTCCCAAAGCTACTAGGAGCAAAGGGCATCGCTACTAGGAGCAAGGATGCTACTAGTAGCTCCTGGCCTTACTACTAGGAGCAAGAAGCTACTAGGAACAAAGGGCATCGCTACCAAAGGCCTGACTGAGCTGAACCAATCAGCCGAAGGCAACGGAGGAGCTCCCGTCCGGGGTAACAACAGCGCAATGCTCCACTGACATGAAACGTGGCATGCCCCGCAGTTGTATGAAAGCAGAGAAACTTGAGACGTCCACAGGGAATGGACATAAGGAAAACAATCACGAAGGAGAATGGAGGAGGAAGGAACAGGATAGAAGAAACGAAAAAAGAAGGGGGAGCAGGAAAAGACAAACCATGCTGCCAAGAAGAGTTTTGGACATCCCGATGACAATAGCACTGAGTGCCCCACAGCAAAAGCCAGGTCCATGCCAAAGTCATCCTGGAGACATGTAAACCACCTGTTCTAGGAAAGCAAATCAAACTACATAGGTTGACTGCCCATGCTAAATTCTGGCTTTGAATATGTCTGCAAGTCTTGCTTGAAGCGTGTTCACGGGGGTGAAAATGACGGCAAGGTACCAGCCCCAGCTCACCATGCTAGGCACCTTACGCAAAGCAGTGCAAGCATGGCCAGTCTAATGCTGCATTCAAGACAAGAACCTTCAAGATGTGCTGAGGTTTCGACCCCAAAGATGCGTTTTCCCTAAGCAAATCACCCAAGCAAATCAGCTGAGGAGCCACATAATAAGCACCGGCACGGTCTCACAGCAGACAGCACGGTCGGACCGATGCGCGGAGGGTGTTTTGCTTTTTGGGGTTCTCTCAGGGTTCCGATGTACAGAAAAGTGGTGCAAAGTGTACAGTGACGGTCTCTGGCCCCAAAAACGAAAAAGTTCAAAACAAAAACGTCCGACGAATCCTTTCTTCCACGTCCGAAAAGGAACTGTCGTTCAAATGGAGTGGGGTCAAAAATGGACCCTAGTCTCTCCCCCAAACTCCAGCCCTCCAAAAAAGCAAGGACGCTATTAGGGGCTCCTGGCCTTACTACTAGGAGCAATGTTCGCTACTAGGAACGAAGGGCATCGCTACGAACGGAGCGATCGGACGCTACGAACGGGGTGGTTGCAGAAAAGTGCCCAGTTCGGCGGGGGCTCGAGCCAGTGGCTTCGAGTGAAGTCCAAACCACCGGAGAACCTCAACAACTCTGTGTCGCTCAGCACTCCAATGTTCGCTACTAGGAACAAGTGCGTCGCTACTAGTAACAAGTGCCTTACTAGTAGTAACAATGTTTGCTAGTGGGAACAAGTGCATCGCTACTGGGAACAAGTGTAGGCAAAAACAGAATGTAGGCAAGAAACACTTGAAGTACTTGCACAAGGCCTGCGAAGCCGCCTGCGGAAAGAAGCACTCCCTTCTTCTTTTTCGAGACTGAGGATCCAAGGTGTCAAAGCTTAAGGAAGTGGTCAATCCAAGGTTGTCAAGTCTTTTTTGGAGTGGCAACTCGTCTTTAGAGAGACCAATCTTAAAGAAAACGACCTCAAAGCCTCTAAAGAAGTCAAGTTCGCATGGCCAGAAATTTGAGGGGCCGCCAACCTCAGGCCCTTTGGTGCTGGTCCCTGCATTTTTGAAAACCATGGCAGCCTTGGCCCAAGAAGTCATCTGCTTCGGTACAGGCCAGCATGGCCGACTGATTCTCACAGCCCATGCCTGCAAAGCTCAACAAGCTGGATCTTATTTGCTGAAGATTGTGAAAGGTTGGGGCAGCGGTTGCCAGGCATTTAGTATTGTTGTCTACTTAGTCCAAGTTAGTACAGTAATCGATTTTGTTACAATCCTAGCTCTCTGAAGAATCTAGACTGCTGTCATGGCAGCTCGCCTTTGCACTCCTAGGGCTCTGTGCATAGAGAATGGCAAGTGCTGCTCTACACCTCCAAGCTGCTTCTCTCATAGGAAACTAAGCTAGAATCTATGCTTTGTGCTAGGTACGGAGAACACAGCCTCCTCGTTCGATTTCTGTGCAACAGACGGCACGATGCAACTGAAGATTCATTGGCTGCAAGCTCCACCAATCTGCGGGCTTCATGAACTTCACACGACCAAAGGAGCTCCTGAACTCTCCTCCCAGGCGCTTGCTCTTCAAGCTCAAGGCCAAGCTGCCCAAGTCGTGCCCTAGGCGACCATCTTTGAGTGGCACAAAACGGATCTCGTTGAGTGACACACTGGATATCATCCTACCAGAGGAAGACCAGGAGCTCTGTATCCAAGCAATGCCTGCTCCTCCACCAACAACCTCAAAGCCTCTAATGAAGTCAAGTTCGCATCCCTGCATTTTTGAGAGCCATGGCAGCCTTGGCCCAAGAAGTCATCTGTTTCGGTACAGACCAGCATGGCCGACTGATTCTCACAGCCCATGCCTGCAAAGCTCAACAAGCTGGATCTTATTTGCTGAAGATTGTAAAAGGTTGGGGCAGCAGTCGCCAGGCATTTAGTATTGTTGTCTACTTAGTCCAAGTTAGTACAGTAATCGATTTTGTTACAATCCTAGCTCTCTGAAGAGTCTAGACTGCTGTCATGGCAGCTCGTCTTTGCACTCCTAGGGCTCTGTGCATAGAGAATGGCAAGTGCTGCTCTACACCTCCAAGCTGCTTCTCTCATAGGAAACTAAGCTAGAATCTATGCTTTGTGCTAGGTACGGAGAACACAGCCTCCTCGTTCGATTTCTGTGCAACAGACGGCACGATGCAACTGAAGATTCATTGGCTGCAAGCTCCACCAATCTGCGGGCTTCATGAACTTCACACGACCAAAGGAGCTCCTGAACTCTCCTCCCAGGCGCTTGCTCTTCATGGTGACCCAGAATCTCTGGCCCACTGCTCAAAGTTTGATTCGGGAAGAATGATTGGAGCGGATACACTATGACAAAAGGACACTTCTGCAGTTTGATTTGAGGTCGGCCGCATTTCCCGAAGCAGGGGACCTTTCCGACCTTTTCGTCCTAGCGGATGAAGTTCAATATGAGCACCAAGCGATGATCAAAGCTGGATGTCATGTGGCAGAAGGGGCAAAAATCAGGAGGGAAGAGAGGGAATCTTTCTGGCAATTACGTCTGACAAAACTGGAAGAGATGTATATATGACAGTTAGAGCAAGTTCCAACACTCTTCTGGAGCGCTCAAGGCTGCCCTCGTTGCCCCAAAGGATGCACACTCTCTTCACGACTTCGCGCGAAGATCGCTCATGTCTCGCCCATGTCCGGAGTCCACAGCGCTCACAAACCGATGTTTCTCACTGTGTGCGGAACGAGGGGAGGAACGCACGAGCCAGTGAACCACTGGCTAGTGAGGTGCTCAGGGCGCCCAACGGATGGAGCCGCAGTTGCCGCTCGCGCGTTCGAGCCTGGATTTTGGGGGACCGCACCCTGATGGATCGGTCCGGATTGAGATCATGAAGGAGATCGGTGCAGCTCCAGGCACACTCCATCAGCATCTATCTCGAGTTCTTCTCATATGATTTCACATCGGTTGCGGTAGGTCTGGGTTGCAGGTCGCTGGTCTGGTTGGTTCCAAAGGGCATTGAACATATGGAAGGCATGCAGATTGGTGTGGCCATGACATCAACAGCCATGAGGGCCATCCATGTTTTTCATCGGCAGACGGTCTAAGGTATTTCCCACAAGCCGCTCTCGCAGGGTATTTACCTCGCTTCTTATTCATCCAAAATAGGTGGATTGTAGAAATAGGTTTGTATGTTTCATTCTTCTCAGCCTAGGAACGTGCAGGACAATGTTCTATTTTAGCCGTTTGCACATCGGAAAGCTTGCAGGCAAACGAGGTCTTCTCCCCTCGGGAGATCTGTTCAGCCGTATCTGACAAGAGAATGAAGTCCCCACCTTGCTTTCGGAAAGAAACATTAGAGCGGAGATCTGGACGATCTTCCAACAAAATGGACCAAATAGACCTTCCTGAAAGCGGACCCTCTTGACACTGAATGAAAGACTAGGAGCGGGTGACTAGGAGCTAGGTCATCTTGATATTGTTACAGTGCCACTTACTTTGAATGAAAGCCAGTGAGCTGCAAGGGAAATGCGAAGCTGCCTTGGAGCCAGCCTTCCAGATCATCTTGTATAAACTAGACCAGAAATCAGAAGCTTTCCCCCGCTCTGAATGACATGGAAGGTGTCCTTTCTGAATGACGGCTGTAAAGAACTCACCAAAGTCATGTTGGCCCGAACGGGTTCTGAGAAGGAGACAAGTGGCAAGAATTCAGTGCAAAGCCTGTGAATTACGTGAAGAATTCGTGTATGCTCAGTATGCTCCTTCTTTTTCAGCAAGAATCTGCTCATCATGGATTCTGATCTGCGTTGACACTGCCGATCATTGTTGGATGCGTTTTTTCTGCACCGGTGCGTTGGACCGTGAGGGGGAGAGTTCCCCCGTCACCACATCACTCAACTCGTCGCGACGTCACGTGAGAAGAAGGTTTGGATCCAGCCGCTGTTCAAGCCTGGAGACAGTCCAACTGGTCGGTTTTCGTGACGCTTGATGATGGGCGAAGAGTCGAAAATGGCCAAGCAGGAGGTCAATGGCAACTTCAAGCCGCTGCACAAGAAACGATGTGCCAATACTCTACAACATCTTGACGAAAAGACTCACAAGCTGCGGTTTCCTCTAGTTGGAGTTTCGAAGACTTGGCGATTGACAGCGCTGTGCTTCTTGTGCCTCTCTTCTGGAAAGTCACAGGGTCCTTGTGTATCTCAAGGAGCTTCTGGCGCGGCCTGCAGTGCTATTGCCCACGGCAAAGACAGCTTCATCGGAGAGTGACATGCGGAGCACTCCGCATAGCTACGCACATGGTAGCAATGGACTCTAGTAGCGATGGCCTCGACCCTACTAGCGATGGCCTCCAACCTAATGCAATGGGCGTCCCCTCCAGAGAATCTGGTCGACCCATTCCCGTCTCCATCCGCTTCAGTGATTTCCCCCCACACGCTGCAACGTGGCCAGCGCCCGAACGACCTCCGCTGTTGGAGCGGTGTCGCTGTTGCGGCCAGCCACGGCCACGTCCAACACGGCGCTGCCCGGTGCACCACAAACATGGCAGCTTCGTTGCGTCCGAGGAGCTCCAGCAACTTGACCAAGCACCCTACTGGGTCTAAGATGTACAAGGGAAGCCACCCTTGTGTTGTTTGCAAACTGAAGAAGGGAAAGAACTGCATCATGCGCCTGAGCAAGAAGAAACATGGCTCCCAGGTGTCGATTTCCTGCACTGGATTCTCGTCTGACAGCTTCTGCAAACAAGCTTGCAATCCAACGCACTTAGCTCAGTGGAATTTGTAAATGGACTGTCTGCAGACCGAGCAGGGATGATTGGTCATAGCTATCGATCAGCTGCCAACCTCTGCAACATAAAGGCTTCCATCTGCCATGGAGCTTACTATCTTGGCGGAGCAAAATGCCCAAAATGGTCCAATCGCTTTAGCTAGAGCAAAGAACAATCCCCAAAATAGGCTCACATCGGATCAAGAAAGCTTGCTTACATAGGGTGATGAGCAGAATTCGATTTCACCGTTTCACCTCACTTGGAGACCACGACCAAGCCAGGCTCACCGGGGCGGTCTACCATTTCACCGCAAGTGCAACACCTCCACGTGACCGACGCGTGCACGGTCCAAGTGGAAAGTCCTCGAGCAGTCCAAGCTGACATCCACACGCTCCAGGGCGAGGTCCAAGCTGTCTCACTCGTCTGTCAGGGTCGGCCGAAGCATCGGACGGTCGATCCGCGGACCGTCAGAAGCGAAAGCGTTTGTCAATCGAAAGCGGAAGCAGAAGAAGCGAAAGTGGAAGATGTTCGAAGAATCTGAAGCGAAAATGGAAGAAATCTCCACAACTCATTGCTCTCGATTCACTCAACATCGCACAAACACCTCTTGCACCGCCAAGAGATGAAAAGTGATTCTTCCGTTGGCCCTTCTTCAAACTATCTTTGGGCTGTCTACCCACCCTTTGTTACTAGTGGTAATGCGGAGCTACTAGTAGCGTCCTTGCTCCTACTAGCGATGCCCTTTGCCACTAGTAGCGATGCCCTTGATTGTTTCTCCTTGGCGCAAAAAGTTTTGCGCTGCGTCTGAAAGAGACGACATTCACACATGACTTGTCAACCCTGATCGTACCCATACCTACTGAATTGCAGCGAAGTGAGTTGCAAGAATCAAAGGTCGTGTTCATAAGTGGAGACCAACTGCTTTTTGCCATTGAAGGGATATCACTGGAGATCGCTGTTTGCTAAACTGCGAGCTTTTGCACAAAAACAAGCTGTCACAGAAAACAAGGAGGCCCTTACCTTGCAAACCTGAACCAGCTCAACTAACAAGAGGTAGACAAGTCTACTGTAAAAATTGACGGTTGGCTCTCAACTTGGTTTTTTGTGCGTGAGGCGTGAGGCAAGTTTTGGATGGAAAAACGTTGCCAGCATCGCGCTTGGCATCATCATCTGGATGACCCCCACACCCGGAGAACCTCAATTTGGAGGACCAATTCCACCAATTCGGCGTCTCCGCATCTCGTGGTCCAGCATTGGACGGCATGAACTGGGTGCTGTGGAGGTTCAGCCCGAGGTAAAAGGACCTTAAGGCTTCCAGGATAGACCTCTTTGGGATTCCTTAGCTGCGATCTAAACATCGGCCTACTTTTTGCAAAAGCTGCGTTTGACGCGACCAAGTTCTTGTGTTTGGTCACAGAGCCCTGCGGCCCGGCCCGACTGCTCTATAGGACATATACAACATCTGCATGATCAGTAAAGAAATCTTCACACCAAAGCTATGGCACGCCACCAAGCCCATGTTTTTTTTCATGCAGATTGGGGCTTCATCGGAGAAGAGGCTGGAATGGGAAGGTGTGAAGCAAATGCGGCTTACCTATCTTTGGACCCAGAGTTTGATGTGACAGACAGACAAACCTGATATCTGGCACTGTGGACATCTGTGGAGCTTAGGGGTGGAAGAGGAAGGAAGCTTCAGGACTTGAAGATGAAGCTGTCAAAACTGTCCAAGGCATCGAAATGGTCCGACTCAGCGATGCAACTCAGCTGTTTTCTTCCGAAGCAGCGCCTCGCACCGAGCGCAACCCAGCCAACAGCGTCATGGCCCTGCGTCAATGCGCTTGACATCGGAGTCAAGGAGTGCAAGGAGTGCAAAGTCGTCGGCACTGCGAAGCCCTGGGATGAAGTTTGTTCGGCACAGAGAAGTGCTGTGGTCTGTGGGCTTTCAGTGGCATCTTTCCACCAGAAGGAAGGCTAAAGCTGTTGTGGAGAATCTGCAACTCAAGAGCATCAGCGCATCAGAGCGTCCGTCGAGAATTGAGTTGGAAGTTGGACGCTCAAAACACGGTTTCAACTGAGCCGCCGGGAATGGACGGAGATTTGGCCAATTGGAAGTTGGGCGCTTTCATCCCCAAACTCCTGCCGAGCTCCAAATGGGTCGGAGGGGTCTGTGCAATGCCAAAACCCGTGTGCTTCTCTGAAACCTCTGAACCCTCAAGTTAATTCTAATAGCTTCTTGTTACTAGTAAGGCACCTGTTACTAGTAGCGTGGCACTTGTTACTACTAATTTCGCACTTCTTAGGTCATCCTTCTAAATGGGGCCAGGCCCTCCATGAAGGAAGTGTCATCCGCTTGTGTGCTCATGCCATTGCACAACATCTAGCAACTGTCACCGGTGGTGGCCCACACTTGCATTGATGGTCACCGGTTTGCACCCCAGTTCTGCCAGTAACGACTGTTGGTCTGCCTGGATTGAGCAAGTACGAGGTAGTAGTTGGCATGCCCGGCATGAAGAGGAAACCCTCAGAGTCCTATGAGAAGGAACTCCATGCCTTTAAAGGCCTGCCGATGCATACAGCTTTTGCGATTGTTACTTGGCCTCTTCTTTGTCCATAAAGAAGCTTCTGGGTCTCTTCTTGACAAGCACCAGCACTCTTCATGAGCTGCGTGTCGTAAAAATCCTGCCCATGACTGGCAACTATCGTCAAACTATCGTGCAAGCTCTGCGGACGCTGATGAATTTGGTGTGACTTTGAAACCAAGGGCTGCAAAGCAACAGTGAACGTTCTCAAAACACACGGACAACATATCTGTGAACAGAGTTGTGCCATTGCTGCGTAGGGTTGCCGGGTTGCACCATTTTGGGCCCCAGGTCTGGATGAAAAACTCAGAGTGGGAAATGAAAATTCAGAGTTTCCCACCACATGGTTTGTTCGCCCAAAACGAAGTGGCCGAGCCAGCCCGGTTTAAGGATCTCAAACCTGCAGCCTTTGCATACTTCCTTCTCCTCACATCGTATTTGTAGCTGCAGCTATGTGGCCTCATGCCCGCGCAGCTTCCAGCGTTTTGCTATTCCAGCGTCTCTGGCGTGCACGACTACTTGAGGATTCAGAGATCGAGACGGTCTGGTGCACCGAACGAGTCGGTGGGCAAACGCGTCGCCGTGCCCCGAACGCCGAAGCGTCAAAAGTTGGGATCTTGACCGCCAGACCGTGCAAAAGACGCTCGGTTGACCGAGGCTTTGATTTGCTTTGGTCAAGTGAGCTGACAAGCACTCGGACTCAAAGCTGTGATACCCAGCACTGAACACGCTGGGCAGCGTCAGACGGATGGAAGCAATCCGCTATGCGCAGCTGATGTCGCAATCTGCTATGCTGCTATCCGCTCTGGGAGGTCGGCCTCCGCGGAGTAGGTCAGCGAATTCTGCAGCTCTGCGCTGGAGATCCAGTTGAATCCACAAAGCGTTGAACAATCGAACGCTAAAGTTCTCTTGACATAATGCCAAGAGTTCGAGTCACTCCTTAGCTCCTACTTTTTTCACATGTCTTGTGTCCCTGGCATTGACTTGACAATATGAAACTCTAAAAAAAGCAGGATTGGGTGGCACCAGTGGGCTCTCTGCAATTCTGGAGAATCTGAAAAATGTTTAGTAGTAACAAGAAGCTACTAGGGGCTCCTGGCCGTACTACTAGGAGCAAGGACGTTGCTAGTAACAAGAAGCTAGCAACTGGACTCCCACCACACCGCTTGGGTCACTCCAGGAGCCATGCGAACGCGAAACACCGACATTCAAGCGGATGCGACGTTCGCGTGAGGAAACGACGAAGACCGTGACCGCCTTCCGATGGCCTTGGCTGAAACGACAGCGTGCACTGACCTTTCGAAGCGACAGCTTTTTCGGGATCCCAGGTCTTGAGTGAAAATGCAGACGCTCCATCATGCTGCGTCGCACAAGAGTTCATTATGGTCTGCACCATTCTGCATCATAGTTCTTGACTTGATTGAAAGCATAGCAGCCTGCCACATCTTGTTTGCTTTCAATTCGAATAGATGCCCTTTGACAGGGTCATCGGTGCTCCTTTAAACGAATAACAGTAACACACCGTGCTCCGGAAAGCCCATCTTGAGCATATCGGTGAACACGATGTCTTCAAAAAGGACTTCGGCCAATGGACATCAAGGTATAATGCTTGTTACAAAGTTCAAGCTGTCAGGATCCTAAGTAAAGTTGGCTTTAATAAGAATGTTGTGTAGCCTTGTAGCTGACCTTCTGCAGGTTGATTGTGCTCCACAAAGTGTGACTAACGGTAGCTCATGACAAAGTACTCATCCCAAGCGCCAACCTTGATCAAGAAGCTGATTGAACATACCAAACTACGTCTCAGGACATGAGGACACAACGCCATGTTTGGACGGAGATCAAGCCTCTCAGAGCCCTTCAGAAACAAGACCTTACAGACCGTGACTTTTGAACGCCAGCCTCCCACTCTTCAACTTTCAGACTTCTCTACCCCGCCCCCATCTTGCCACACCTGCCCAACTGGAGAAACTCCAGACCCAACGAGCCAAGCCGAGGTGAGCCGAAACAGAAGAGGCCGAAGTCCGAGATCGTTGATTTCGTCTCGAGGAACGGTCGGCGCAGATTCCGGTCTTCGGTCACAGCGATGCCCGATCTATGTGGAGATGTTCCCACCCTGCATTCGTTCGCGTCTGCATCACACCGGTGAAAGAAACGACCCGCACCGGTGACATGAATCGCCGGCGATGGATGGCAAGAAAGCTCAGCCCTCGAACCAAACAGCAATGGCCTCCACCGTAGGAGCGATAGCCTCCAACCT